CAACAAAGGTTTGCAAGTAATGTTGTCTCCACAGGAGTATCTCTTTGTTTTCGTTTTGGCCCTATGACGTCACCACGAGAGTGCACAGTCAACCAGCTGAATACAAAGCGCATGGGGAAGACTTTGACAAGAAGCGATACTTTACGTAGATTTTTGATTACATAGAGGTAATTATTGGAGTTTTAACTATAGTTTTATAATATACCATGCCAGGCCGAAAATGTGCGGTCTTTGGCTTTGGATCGTGTAGGTGGACCAAAGGAATTGGAATTTGGAAACTGCCAAAAGCAGTCGACGTGAAACATCGCGAATGGCGCGAATCATGGCTCGGACAACTCAAGAAAACTCGGGTAATTGACTCCGATTTTAGAGAGCAAATCAAAAACGATCGAGTCAACACCTGCGAGAAGCGTTTTTCACCGAAAGATTTCGAGATATGTGAGTATTATCGTCTATATTTTATGTCTCTGTGGTCTGTTTACATCAGACTCCACTGTCAGTACGTCTTGCACGATCTCGTCCCTCTTGACCTTTTGCAATCTCCTCTCTGAGACATCTTTTAATCTTCGATCTTTTACGTGTTAATTTCAGTTTCTACTGACAACACAACTCCAAAGAAGCCGAGATTCGACCCATTATCTAAGCTAAATATGCCGACGAAAAGCATTGAATCTCGCAAGCCAACGCTGAGACCAGAGCGTCGCCATCATCTAGCAGATTCAGTTTGCACTGACGTCAACTCAGATGTATGCTGATGACATTGCATCCCATGTCCTGGTATTTATGGTGCGTTGCATTTGCACTGAACTTAAGTTTGCCTTAGCTAATTTTGCTACCAAAGGAATTACATCATATCAGCTCATACCCTTGTTCTGGGAAGCAGTATGCCTATTATAAATCACATGCAATCTTTGGGTGGTTGCTGCCACAGGAGATGGTGCAAGTCCAAATCGAAAGTTTTTTCGTCTTCACAAGGCACTTGGAGATGTGCAGTGTGATGTGTGCTACTGCACCAAGAATCTCTATGCCCCACACAGATATATATATACTTTTTTAGTGATGTACCACATTTCATCAAGACAACAAGGAATTGTCTTATGCATTCAGGGGCAACAAAGGGAACCAGATACACGTGGAATGATGGACAGTTTGTCTTGTGGCAGCATATCACAAGCATGGTGTATGAGGACTTCAACAATGGTCTGAAACTGCTGCCCAAGCTTACATATGAGCATATTAACCTGAATGCTTATTCAGTTATGAGGTTTAATCTTGCTGCACAAGTCTTG